AGCGAGTAGACGGAGCAATAGCCGCTGCGGCAGACGTAGGAGGAGGGGCCGGCGTGAGCGAGCACCTGGAGGGCAGGAGTGTGAGGAGTGAGAGGGAATGTAGCTTTGATGTTGGCGGGGGGGACGAGAGGGGGAGGGGGAGGGGAGGGAGGGGGCGTGGATGTCGGGTGTGGAAGTACGTACCGTGTTGGCGAAGGTGAGTCCGATGCGTTTGTTGTAGTCGGAAGCGGAGGGACGGACCATGGATGGAGGTATTCGCCTGTAGCAGAGAGGTGTGCTATGAGGCAACGGGGGGATCGAGCTCTACAGCAGCGGTGGCGCTGCAGAGTCGTTGGAAGAAGAGTGAGGGGCGGGGGGGGCGGGGCGGGGGGGGATGAGCAGGGTGGAACGAGCAGTTGTCTCCTCATACTCTGAGGTGAGAGGAAAAGAAAGAAAAAAAAGAGATCCCGGACTCCTCAGAGTACCCCTTCTTTACTGCGATCCATTTCAGGGGTGGGGTACTTGTATCGGCCAACCGCCGAAACCAAACGGAAATCGGAGTTGTGATGAGAGATCGCAACGTTTTATGAGTCACGAGGGCCTTTATAACCTCCTAATTAAAAACTCCGGATTGCGCAGTCGGTACCCCTTAAACCCCATTTTCCGCCGGGTCAGACCCCTGACCCCCCCGGGGGTCTTTTTGGCAGTCCGAACCCGGAGATCCGGCGAGAAGTGTAAAGTTGAGCTTCCGCACCTCCAAAACTTTTAAAAATTACTCAAATTCTCAGATCCCGGTACAAGTCTTTGTACTGCTGATGATAAGTTAATATTTGATTACCGGCACATGGCCATTAAAACCGACTCGCCTCCGCCACCTGCTGACCGACATGTTTCTACCGCAGAGGCTCGATAAGGAGGGGTACTTCTGAGAATCTTTGGGAGGGGTCATCGTCCAACGGTCACGAAACCATCTTTACTACATACTTTTGACCAACCACCACACCCCTGACAATACAACGTACCACCACTCTTTACGATTGGGTCTCTTTCGTGCAGTACCATTCCACCCACCCCCTTTCTGAAAGAGTACCACCCCCACCCCTTGAATTCCTTCTTCATATTTACAACCGACGGTGGCGACGTCGACACAATTAACCCCTACCCCTCTGTATCGTGGCAATGAAGGGGTAGTTGAATCATGATGAGGCAGGGACCCCTGCACCCCTCTACGCAAAAAAATTCTTTACCTTCACCACCCCAATCGATACCCCTTACCACCCCTTGTGCTAAAAAGAAATTAACCCTACCCCCGCAGCAGAGAATTCTCAAAGAAATAAAACGTTCTCCTTCCCTCCCCAACCTCACCCGCTGCCTCCTCTGCCTCCTCTGCCTCCTCTGCCTCCTCTGCCTCCTCTGCCTCAACTTGCTCCTCTGCCTCCAGGCTCTGTCCGCTCTCTCCCTGTGCCTCCTGTACCTCCTGCTCTTACTGTGCTTGCTGTGTTGCTCTGCTTCCGACTCCAATCATCTCTGCTATTGTTGGAAAGGCCTCTGACCTAGAAACCATTCTTGAGCTTGCGTTCTGTGCTTTCCCTACCCTTGTGAGCGCTAGATTCCCATCACGCCACTTGTTGCAGATAGACATCCGTGTTTTGATTATCCTTGATTCAAATCCCCGTTCCAGCTCCAAACCATTTCTGATAAACTTCGAACTGCTCCCAACGTTGCACATCGCACAATTCATGGTCCGTCCCTCCGCTTCCGACTACAACAAACGCATCGGACTCACCTTCGCCAACACGGTACGTACTTCCACACCCGACATCCGGTCTTCCTTACTCGGCTCATGTTCAAGATAGCGTACGAGCAGGTGAAGCGAGAGTCTGGGTCCTTCTCCTGCCCTCCAGGTGCTCGCTCACGCCGGCCCCTCCTCCTACGTCTGCCGCAGCGGCTATTGCTCCGTCTACTCGCTGCTCAAGATCTGCTGCCCCACGGCCACCAGGAGCGAAGACCCCTTGAGCGCTCGCCACGGCATGACGGAGATCGAGTTCAACAAGCTCCTGGAGCACAACGGCTTCTACAAGGTGAGGTCCAGGCGGTCCTTCCTAGACCGACACGACGACTGGACGCCCAGGGGTGAGTCGTCTGCTCCCTCTCCTCTCCTCGCCTTTGTTGTCCCGTCCCTCATGGCTCAGCTGACTCGCCTGCTCTTGTCGCCAGTACGCTACATGTACGCCGCGCGGAGGTGGAGGAACCCCGCTCTCCCCGAGGACCGAGCGCGGCTGGTGGAGGGCTGGGAGCTGCTGGTCAGCAACGCGGGGCCCTTCTTGGCGACGCAGTGTCCGTTGGATCGCTTCTTGGACCTCTGCCAGCAGGCGCGTTGCCGGTGGGAGGCGTTCGCTAACGGAGCGCCGCCGCTGGACGTCGACGCCTCTCGCGCGGGCCTCGGGCACGGGGACAAGCTCGCTGCAGAGGACGGCCATGCTTGCACCTCCCACAACCACGACAACGAGGACGAGGACGTCGACGTCGACGAGGACGACGTGGAGCAGATGGCGCAGGGACCGAGCTCGTTCTTCCCCGGCATGGAGGGCGCAAGGACGACCCCCCCGGTCTCACACGAGGAGGAGCGAGCGAGGGACGGGATCGACGCCGTGCTGGATGACCTCGTGTCGTCGGGGATAGCTCCGGTCGACATCGAGGAGTACCTGGAGGGATTATCCGTCGAGGACGGGCTGGGGAGTTGGTGCCCGCCGGAGCACAGCATGTCTGTGTACGGAGGGGCTGCAGTGACAGGGCGTGATGGGGAGCTGTTTGAGAGCGTTGAGATGCTGTGGGAGTGTAGGGAGATGGAAAGGCAGCACGGATCTATTCCTTGATAAGCTGTAATGAACTTACACTGCAATGGGTATCAAATTTTATCCTATTCTTCCTGCTTGTAAAGCAATTCAAGCTACTGATCAGATAGTTAACATGTATTTTTCATCATATGCTAATGCTTTTGCAAACGAAAACAAGCTTGTTCATCTTCGAACAGAGTTTCTTTGTTAGGAATCAAAAGTAGCCCTATCAAACAGTATGGTCATATCTAACTAGGTCATACATGTAGATCTCCTTTCGTATCTTCTAGGTTACATTGGCGAGGCTTCTGTCAGCTTTCGAGCGGTAAAACGCCTATTGGACTTCATGTGAAATGGCTGGTTGGGCCTGCTAAATTCGTTGGCGACTTAGTCAGGTCGATCGAGTATATGTGTTGAGCTGCTGAAAGCCCGTCGTCGTCCTCCTCTCTGACTCATAACCATTCAATGGACATCACCAGCACTCGCTTTCACAGATTTCACTTCGACAAGTGCATAGTCACTCAACAAGAAGAGGCATCTGACCCATGGACGTGACACAGCAGGCATGACAAGCAGTGCGAGAATGAAGTCAAAAGCAGGGAGGAGGAGGGGAGGAGGTCAGAGGGAGAAGGAGTGGGAATAATGGAGGGCAGAGACAACAGCGGAATCACTTTGCTGACGATGCAAGCGGCGAAGTCTTGCGGGGCCGATGAGGTAAGATTCCTCATAGTCGTTGATGCCGAGCGACCGACTCGTCTGCTTCCCTACATCTGAGCTCATGGCAGAGCGGCGCAAGACTCCGAGACTACAGGGTGAGAAGAGAACCAACGAGGGACCGAGCATCCGTACAAGCAAGCGGTAAAATAGGAGAGCATGAAAGCGCAAGCGGTAAGGGAGGGAGGTTGCCAGATGTTTGGAGAGGAGAAGGGACAGTAGGCAGAATGAGAAGAAAGTGAAAGAAAGCATCGAACCTGCGAGTGTAATGCGGCGATGCCAGTGCGGTAAAAAAAGATGCAGGAGAACAATGGAGGAATGAGGGTGTGCAGGACACTGGAGCGAGCCTAGTACACAGGGGAGGAGTGGCAAGGGATACGTGGGACAAGGAGGAAGCATTGCACTCGGAGCAACAGGAAGCGAGAGGGGGCAGCGACTCAGGGGTGAAAGGGATAGTGAGACGAGCAAGGGCAAGAAGAGACGAGGAGGGACACAGATCAGGCGAGGCGAGGCTGGGGAAAGTGAAGTTAGAGGAGGTGAGGCTAGACTGGTAGGCAAGGCTAAAGGTCGAGAAGGGAGGAAAGATTCACTTTCCCGAGCCTCAGCGAGGAGAGGGACGGGAAGGTGCGAAAGGAAGCAAGGGGGGAGAGAGGCGAAGCGAGGAAAGGTGAGGCCGAGGAAGGGAAGAGGCCAGGGGAGGCGTGTCAGGGAGGGAGGGAGGAGAGGGAGTGAGAGGAGGCACAAGGTAGGTTGGGGTACGGGAGGAGCCTGGGGAGGGGAAAAAGAAAATTCTGCTTCCCCGTTTCGGTTTCGGTTGTGCGGGCCGCCCAATCGGTACCAGAATCAGGTACCGATACATTGGGAATGAGGTGGGATGAGGGCCGTCCAGCCTCTACTCCGAAAAACTAATTATAAAGTGAGAGGCGGTCAGAGACTCGGAGAGTTGAGTAAAAGTAGCGCGTCAGTTGTAAGGGTTTACTCATCAAAGTTGAGTAAACTGACTCCTCGGAGTTTGTAAATAAAACCGTGACCGCGGACCTTCCGGTCCATCGGGTCACGTACCCTCGCGGTAAACTCCGAGTATCCTTATTTATCAAGTAATAAGAACCTCGGGGCCTGAGCGGTCGGATCGCAAGCTCGCAACGGTTCGGAGGTGATAGGCCGCCGTTGACCGTGACCGGGGGGGCGGACCCGGCCCGGATGGTGTCGGTGGGGGGCTGGATGAGGGGCAGATAGGAGAATGGCGGCAGGGAAACGGAAGGGGGGAGAGGAGGAGGAGAGGAGAGGAGGACCGGAAACAAGCAGCTTGAAGGGAAGAACACGCGATGAAGCGAAAGATGATGATGAGGGGCCAAGGGGAGGGAGGAGGAAAGGAAGATTGCCGCGAGGGACGGAGAAAGAACCTCTCGACGCCGAGAGAAGCCATGCTCTGAGGAGGTCGCCGCGAGGAAAGCAGAGCTTGAATGCTGGAACGAAGGAGCAGGAGAAGACAAGAGGCTCCGACGCTGGTGCCACCAAAGAACCTTCAAAGCGCAAGAAGAGAGAGGTAGGAGCATCGATATCGAAGGTCGTGGCTGCACAGAAGCTGAGGGGGAGTGACAATGGGTTGGTGGAGACGGTCTGCTCTAGGGTGAACAGGATCGTTGTTTCCAAGTGCCCTAGCAGGGAACACGAGCAACTTCTGTGGCAGGAAGGATTCAAGAGAGTCGCGGGAGTTGATGAAGCCGGCAGAGGGCCGTTGGCGGGTCCAGTGGTAGCGGCGGCTGTGATCTTACCGGCAGAGGAGGAGGAAATGCTGCGAGGCATCAAAGACAGCAAGAAGATGACGGAAGAGGAGGTCCGTCCCTTCCTGCCTCTCCTCGTCCCCTCCTGCCTCTCCTCGTCCCCTCCTGCCTCTCCTCGTCCCCTCTGCCTCTCCTCGTCCCCTCCTGCCTCTCCTCGTCCCCTCTGCCTCTCCTCGTCCCCTCCCACCTCTCGTCGTTGACATGGTCTTGGAGCACAGAGGGAGGCGTGCTACGAGACTCTGACGCAGAGCAAGAAAGTGACCATCGGGGTGGGAGGAGAGGAGCATGGCGGCGAGGGAGGAACTGACGAGGGTGTAAGGTGAGCGTCATAGAGCACGAGGTCATCGACGAGATCAACATCCTCCAAGCGACCATGCTCGGCATGTCCTCGGCCGTGAAGCAGCTGGAGGAACCACCTGACTTTGTGCTGGTAGATGGAAACAGGTCAGTGTCACAGCAAAGTGCTCGATGTGGAGAGACCTGGTGGTGGTTGAACGAAGGGGAGGAGGAGAGCGGGAAGCAGGAGGAGGAGGAGGAGGAGGATAAAGAGGATGATGATGGTGTGTTACAGATGCCCGTCCGACCTCTCAGCTCCTTCTCAGGCCATCGTAAAAGGAGACAGTAAGGTGCAATCCCTTGGCCTTCACCTTCGCTGTCTAACCTCTTCTCCTAGTGCATGGCGATTGCTGCTGCTTCTATTATCGCCAAGGTGAGGGGAGGCGAAGTTCGCTCCTCCTCCTCCTCCTCTCCCCTCCCTCCCTCGTTCCCCTCCCTCTACCTCCTCCTCTCCCCTCTCTCCCTCGTTCCCCTCCCTCTACCTCCTCCTCTCCCCTCTCTCCCTCGTTCCCCTCCCTCTACCTCCTCCTCTCCCCTCTCTCCCTCGTTCCCCTCCCTCTACCTCCTCCTCTCCCCTCTCTCCCTCCATCTACCTCCTCCTCTCCCCTCCCTCCCTTCCCCTTCTCTTCCTCCCTCTTATCTGCCCCCTACTCCCTCACCCGCACCTCCTTCCCGTTCCTCAGTATGTGCAGGTCACGCGAGATCGCATCATGAAGGAGCATCACGAGCGCTGGCCCGTCTACGACTTCGCTCAGGTCAGGAGGGACGTGCGGGTGACTCGCTGACACCGAGGCAGCACAAGGGATACGGCACGAGCCGACACGTCGCTGCTATCAGCAAGGTACTGGAGGAAGCAGAGCGCAAGAACAGGGGGGGGGTGAGGGGGGGCAGAAGGAGGGAGGAGGGAGAGGCAGGTAGAGTGAGAGGCAGGAGGAGGAGGCAGGTAGAGTGAGAGGCAGGAGGGGGAGATATGTCTGACGATAGCGCAGCATGGCCCTTGTCCGATTCACCGTAAAACATTCGAGCCTATCAAGTCGCTGCTCGCGGCTGAAGGAGAGGGGGAAGAGGAGGAAGAGGAAGCAGAAGAAAAAGCCAGGGGAAAGAGAAGAAAGAATAGGGCGTGAGGAAATAAACTCTAACTTGACTGGGAGGAGGAGGAGGAGGAGGAGGAGGAGGGAGGGGGCTGTCATTCATGCTGAAGCTCGTCATCTCCCGCTCGCATCGCATGCTCCATCCAGATGTCGCAGATGTGCTTCACCGTGTCCTTCCCGTCCCCGTCCATGAAGGGCCTGCGAGGGACGAGAATCAAACTGAAGGCGAGGGAGAACTCACGCAGAAGAGAGGCAAGAAGATGAAGACGTTGAGGAAACGGAGAGCAAGAGCAGGAGCAGAACAGGAGCTGGAGCAGGAGCTGGAGCAGGAGCAGGAGTAGGAAGAGGGGGGAGGAGAGAAGGTTCATGCCTGACAACTGGGAGTCGGTTGTGAGCATCCAAGGCGAAGCTGGAGAGGAAACCAGGAAGAGGACGCTGACTGTCACCGACCCTGATGGTTCGCTCGAACCTCTGCAGGCCCAGTGAGAGGAAGAGAAGCTGAGGGAACCAGAGGGAAGCGAAAGGGGGAGGGGGGAGGGGAGAAAAGGAAGAGGGAAGGGAGGAATTTCACCGCGCTGATCCTCCTCCATGAAAGCTGCGAGAGATTCTCTAGCATCGCTTGAATTTCCTTCTCCTTGGGGTCTCCTAGGAAGTAGGGGGAAGGAGGAGAGGAGGGAGACGCATCTGAAGCAGCACCAGCACCAGCGGTAGCGGCAGGAGGAGGAGGAGAAGGAGGAGGAGGAGGCCATATGAAGACTTCTTCAAGGGAGTCGTGAATCACGTGGGGATACTTGTGGGAGACAGGGTTGAACATCTGCCAGCGGGGGAGGAAGGACGAAGCGATCATGGCGGTGGGGTAGCGGACGAGAAAGTCGTTACAGGTGTTGCCGTAGAGCACGCGATGCTTGAAGGCGCGGAGAGCGGAGAGGAAGGGAAGAGTGTCGTCGGTCGTCATCTCGAGGAGGAGGGGACGGTGCTGGTCTCGGAGGAAAGTCAGCCGTTGGGAGAAGGAGGAGAGCTCGTGTTCCTCCTCCCTCGCAAGGAAATCTGAGGGAACTGAATCAGGTTCTTCTCCTCCTTCTCCACCGCCACCACAATCACCACCACCATCACCACCACCATCACCACCACCACCGCCTCCTTCTGCTCCTCCTACCGCTCCTCCTCCTGCTCCTCCTTCTGCTCCTGCTCCTGCTCCTGCTCCTGCTCCTGCTCCTGCTCCTGCTCCTGCTCCTGTCACTACAGCCACCTCCTCCTTCTCTTCCTTTCCCTTTCCCCCAACCCTTCAAGTCCTTCCCTCCCTCCGCCGCCCCTCCTCCTCCTCCTCCTTCCCTTCCCTTTCTCACCCCCTCGTCTCCTTCTCTCTCGCTCACCTTCAAACTCCTCTCCCCCCAAGCAGCTCCGCAGGTACTCTTCCTCCAACTCGTCAGCATGAGCCTCGCTCCCCGGTAGCCCCTCGGAGGAGCTCTTGGTCCTGAGCGGAGAGAGCGGGTGCTGGGAGGCGTCGGCATGGGAAGAGGAGGAGGAGGAGGGGGAAGAGGAGGCGACTTGGAGGTCTTTGAGGAAGTCAAGGTTGACGGCAGACTTGTTCTTCCTCCTCGAGGATCGGGGGCTGATTTTGTCCCTGAAGAAATCTTTGACCCCCCACTGCTTCACCGACTCCTGGCTCCTCCTGTGCTGAAGGCGAGATGGGAAGGGGGAGGAGGGAGAAGGAGAGGAGGGGGAGGGAGAGGAGGGGGAGGGAGAGGAAGGAGTGGAGGAGACGCTCCCGAAGAGAAGCTGACCCAAGAAGGAACGCCTGATCCCCTGCCGCCCTGCCGTCACTTCCTGCCTGACCCTCCAGCACAGGCACCTTGATCCTCTTCGCCTGCTGCCGGAAGTTAGAGACACGAGGAGAGGGGGAGAGGAAGAGGAGAATCAGGAAGCAAAAGATGGAAGAGACAAGAATGATGGAAGAGGGGCAGGAGCAGGAGCAGGAGGAGCAGGAGGAGGAGGAGCAGGAGCGGAGGAGTAGGAGGTGGTGGTGGTGGTGGAGCACCTGGGAGGAGCAGGCTTGTTCGTTGGTCTCGTCTGATATCCATCGTCAACTTGTCAGCAGGCCCACACCCTCTCACCTCCTCCTTCTGTTGCCTCCTCCTTCGCTTCGTCCTGCATCTCTAATAAGCATCTCCTTGTCCCTCCCCTCCCCTCTCCACCTGATCGTCACCGAGGCTGAAGGTCGGTGAGGTAGGACGAGCAGACGCATCCTGACGGAACTCAGACTCCTATGGTGAGAGAGGGAGGGAGCGAGTACAGGAAGACAAGAAGAAGAAGCGGAAGCGGAAGCGGAGGAGGAGGATCAGGAGAAAGAGGAAGAGGAAGCTCACTGATCTGCTTCGAGTGCTGAAGCTGATATCATTCTTCTCTTTTCTTCGCTCAAGTCGTCGGCTATTGACATGTCAGACACAACCGGAGGACAAGCAGCAGCAGCAGCAGCAGCAGGCCCTCACTCACATCTCTTCTTCGCTCTCTCCATTCGCGTAATGCACAACTCTTTCACCTTGGTCGACAAGGAACAGCTGCCATGCGTCATCATCATCATCCTCATCCTCATCCTCATCCTCTACCTGTTTCGCACTCCTCCCGCCATACAGCGCCAGCCCTGTCACCATCTTCTCCAGCGCCTTGGGAAGCAGCGCTTGCGTTCCAAGATGAGGAGTAGCGGTTGTCATGAAGGTGAGGGGAATCAGCCCGGCCACGAGCCCTGAACAACTTCAGCTCCTCCTCCTCCTACTGCGCCTCCTCCTGCGCCTCCTCCCTCCCTCCCTCCCT